TTCGCAAACCTGACTTAAATTCGATTAAATAGTAATATAAATTATGCAACATTGTGGAGCCACCAATTTGGGGCTCCACTTTGTTTGTGTGTGTCTGGTCTACTGGCTCTACTTCTACGTTTACACTTTGTTTTAAACAGCAAACAATGTGGAGCCCGAGTGCAAGGCGCGCACGCACACGCGCACGCGCACGCGCACGCGCACGCGCACGCACGCACGCACGCACGCACGCACGCGCACGCGCACACGCACACGCACACACTAACTGCAAAGACTCCCATTTTGTGCTTCGCACATGGGAGTCAAAAATAGAAATACGGATTTAAACTTCATGACCTTTGCTTCAAAAGAGTGTATAGTTTTTGATCGCATGAATGACTGTGGAGATGACAATTAAAATTTTATTCACGTTAGATGAATTATCAGCCCCGCTGATTTTCGGAATCACGTGACGCTAAAACAAATACAATGTTCACAAAATATTAATAATAGGAAAATACAAGTCAAAAGCTTTCCAAACATATATAGATTGTATGGTTTCTTGTAAAATTTATTCCGATTATAGGTGTTTACATTTTTCATGCAAAAAAACTATCCTGCTACCTTAATGAAAAAATTACCACATAGATATTTTGGTAATATGTGTTTTTTTTCCCAGTTACATATCCAAGAACATATCACACTTCCTGTAAGTATATATACTGTTGTGTTATTTGGTGGAAAGTCATTTGTGCACTGATCGAAGGTTCAGAAATGAATGACTTGTTTTTTTATCTTAGTATTAAATTAATTTGGTAAACAGTTAATAAAACTGTGTATTAATTAGTAAAAATATGATTATTGTCAATGGCAGAACACTTGGTGATCTGTTCACTAGTCACCACCCAGCTGCATGGTTTGGAGATTTTGATCAAGGAGATATTGAAGATGAAAAAACATTTTATTTTGAGCTGCTCATATTTTGAAAATGAAAGAAAAATCTTATTGAAAAACTGCAAAATTAACTGCAGTGAAGAGAACAAAGACGTAATGTTCTTAAAAATTAAGAAAAATAACATTGCTTTTTCACTATATCTAAAAAATACCATATACAAAGCACGGCCTGTGTATACCCCTGGGTAGGGAGAGCCTTTACTTTGATTTATTTACTGTATTTTTTAATACTTTTTGATTTATCCCCCGGTAGTTATAGTTATTAGAACTTTTAATTTATTTTACACTATTTTTACCTTGCC